TAACCCTAACCCTAACCTAACAACACCGCTAGTAGGCTTGCTCACTGCCTGCCTTGCTTACTGCCTATCTTACTAGCTCCCTCACTGTCTTCCTCACTGTTAACCTCACTATCTACCTTACTACTTATCTTACTGCCTCCCTTACTGCCTCCCTCACTACCTCTCTTGCTCACTGCCTCACTCACTAACTACCTTACTGCCTATCTCGCTGCCTACTTCTCTCCTGAATGTGGTTAATATTATATGTATTCTCTGATGTCTCATTTATATATATATGCCTGCGTATAAACCATGGATTCAGCCAACATACTCTTCAAACTAACTGTATAATATATATCTCTGCGCATTATGGTATCCTAAAATATATATATTCATTCATATATTACTACTAATTAACCTTAATCTCCTAATATTACTGCCTCTCTTACTGCCTGCCTAACTATTAACCTTGCTATCTACCTTACTATCTACCTCACTACCTGTCTTACCACCTATCTTACTGCCTGTTTTACTATCTACCTTACTGTCTACCTTACTGCCTGACTCACTTACTATCTTGCTTACTGCCTATCTCGCTGCCTCCCTCACTCGCTCACTGCCTGCCTTACTTACTATCTCGCTCACTGTCTTGCTCACTGCCTCCCTCACTATCTCACTCACTGCCTCCCTCACTATCTCACTCACTGCCTCCCTCACTATCTCGCTCACTGCCCCCCTCACTAACTTGCTCACTATCTCACTCACTATCTTGCTGACTGCCTTACTCACTGCCTTGCTCACTGCTTTGCTTGCTGCCTGCCTTACTGCCTATCTCACTGCCTCCCTCCTCAGTCCCTGTCTTGCTACCTCACTTACTCCCTATCTCACTGCCTCCCTTATTATCTTACTTACTCCCTGTCTTACTATCTCACTCACTGCCTTTCTCACTGCTGCACTCACTGTCTAGCTCACTGTCTAGCTTACTATCTTGCTCACTGCCTTACTGCCTTGCTCACTTCCAGTCTTGCTGCTGGTCTCACTAGCTACCTTGCTCACTGTCTATCTTACTGTCTACCTCACTGTCAACCTCACTATCTACCTCACTGCCTCACTGCCTGCCTCCCTTACTGCCTCTCTTACTTACTATCTACCTCACTGTCTAGCTCACTGTCTAGCTTACTGCCTTGCTTACTGCTTTGCTCACTGCCTCCTTTGCTGCCTGCCTTGCTGGCTACCTTACTATCTCTCTCACTGCCTGTCTCACTGCCTACCTCTCTCTTGAATGTGGCTAATATTATATATATATATGCCTGTGTATAAACCACAGATTCAGCTAATATACTCTATAATTAACTCTATAATATATATCTCTAAGCATTATGGTATCCCAAATTATATATATTCATTCACTAATATATTAATGCTGACTAACCTTAATCTCTTAATATTATTACCTCTCTTGCTGCCTGCCTTCCTATTAACCTTGCTATCTACCTTACTATTCACTTTACTATCTACTATATATTAACCTTACTGTTGACCTCACTATCTACTATACTATTAATCTTATTATCTACCTTACTAACTATCTCTCTCCTAACTATGGTGATATCCCCCTGATACCTAATTATATATATATATATGGATGTATAAACCATGGATTTGGATATTTCTATAAACTAAATATATAATATATATCTCTGCTGCTATTATGGTATCCTAAAATATATATATTTATTTACTTAATATATTAATCCTAATTAACCTTGATCTCCTAATATATATCTATTACTTGATATATGGATGCTAACTAATCTTAATCTACTAATATTACTACCTCTCTTACTGCTTACCTTACTATTAACCTTACTATCTACTATGCTATTTATAATTACTATCTACCTTATTACCTACCTTACTATTGACTACACTATCTATCTTACTGTCTACCTTACTATCTATCTTACTATCTACCTTACTGTCTGTCTTGCTGCCTTACTCACTGCCTGCCTTACTTAATGCCTCCATCGCTGCCTGCCTCAATGCCTGACTTGCTTACTCTCTTGCTTGCTGCCTCCCTCACTCACTGCCTGCCTTGCTCACTGCCTACCTCACTAGCTAGCTCGCTCACTGACTTGCTCGCTCCCTTGCTCACTGCCTCCCTCACTATCTCACTCACTATCTCACTCACTATCTCACTCACTATCTCGCTCACTATCTCACTCACTGCCTCACTTACTATCTCACTCGCTGCCTCACTCGCTGCCTGCCTCCCTCGCTCACTGCCTCAGTCACTGACTCCCTTACTACCTATCTTGCTGCCTACTTCTCTCCTGAATGTGGTTAATATTATATGTATTCTCTGATGTCTCATTTATATATATATGCCTGCGTATAAACCACGGATTCAGCCAACATACTCTACAAACTAACTGTATAATATATATCTCTGCGCATTATGGTATCCTAAAATATATATATTCATTCATTAATATATCAATGCTGATCGACCTGATCTCCTGACATAACTGCTGTACTAAATAAAATAATATAAATAACTAGCGGTGCCCCTCATGGTTGGGATGCACTAACCTAAAACCCTGGACCACCTGGACTACCTGGGCCTTATTCTACCTATCTTACTGCCTCCCTCGCTGCCTGCCTCAATGCCTGACTTGCTCACTCTCTTGCTTGCTGCCTCCCTCACTCACTGCCTGCCTTACTCACTGCCTGGCTTGCTCACTGCGTGCTTCCCTTGCTCACTGCCTGCCTTGCTCACTGCCTACCTCACTAGCTAGCTCGCTCACTGACTCGCTCGCTCCCTTGCTCACTGCCTCCCTCACTCACTGACTGGCTCACTGACTGACTGGCTTGTTCACTGCCTGTCTTGCTCGCTGCCTACCTCGCTCACTGCCTCCCTCACTATCTCACTCACTACCTCACTTACTACCTCCCTCACTGTCTTGCTTGCTGCCTCCCTCACTCACTGCCTCACTCGCTCACTGCCTAACTTGCTCGCTGCCCGCCTCCCTCACTCACTGCCTGCCTTACTTACTGCCTAGCTCATTCACTGCCTCCCTCACTGCCTACCTCGCTCACTACCTCCCTCACTGTCTTGCTCGCTGCCTCCCTCACTATCTCACTCACTACCTCACTTACTACCTCCCTCACTGTCTTGCTCGCTGCCTTACTTACTATCTCGCTCACTGTCTTGCTCACTGCCTCCCTCACTATCTCACTCAATGCCTCACTCACTATCTCGCTCGCTGCCTCCCTCGCTGCCTGTCTCATTGCCTGTCTTGCTGCCTGTCTTGCTGCCTGTCTTGCTGCCTCGCTCGCTGCCTGCCTCCCTCGCTCACTGCCTCAGTCACTGACTCCCTTACTCACTGCCTGCCTTACTTACTGCCTAGCTCGTTCACTACCTCCCTCACTGCCTACCTCACTCACTACCTCCCTCACTGTCTTGCTCGCTGCCTCCCTCACTATCTCACTCACTACCTCACTTACTACCTCCCTCACTGTCTTGCTCGCTGCCTTACTTACTATCTCGCTCACTGTCTTGCTCACTGCCTCCCTCACTATCTCACTCAATGCCTCACTCACTATCTCGCTCACTGCCTCCCTCACTGCCTGTCTCATTGCCTATCTTGCTGCCTGTCTTGCTGCCTGTCTTACTGCCTCGCTCGCTGCCTGCCTCCCTCGCTCACTGCCTCAGTCACTGACTCCCTTACTCACTGCCTGCCTTACTTACTGCCTAGCTCGTTCACTACCTCCCTCACTGCCTTCCTTACTAGCTGGCTCGCTCCGTTGCTTGCTGCCTCCCTTACTCACTGCCTTGCTCGCTCACTGCCTGGCTCGCTCACTGCCTCCCTCGCTCACTGACTGGCTTGCTCACTGCCTGCCTCACTAGCTGGCTCACTCACTGACTCGCTCGCTCCCTTGCTCGCTGCCTCCCTCACTCACTGCCTGCCTTGCTCACTGCCTGACTTGCTCGCTGCATGCTTCCCTTGCTCACTGCCTGACTCACTCACTACCTGCCTTGCTCACTGCATGCCTTGCTCACTGCCTACCTCACTAGCTGGCTCGCTCACTGCCTCACTCACTCCCTCGCGTGCTGGCTACCTGCCTCACTCGCTTGCTGCCTCGCTCGCTGGCTACCTCACTGTCTAACTTACTGTTTCGCTCGCTGGCTTGCTCCCTCGCTCACTGCCTGCCTTACTGCCTACCTCACTGCCTATCTCACTATCTACCTTACTGTCTACCTTGCTACCTACCTCTCTCCTAACTATGGTTAATATGATATATATTCCCTGATATGTCACTTATATATATATCCCTGCATATAAACCCCGGATTCGCCAACATACTCTATAAACTAAATGTATAATATATACCTCTGCGCATTATGGTATCCTGAAATATATATATTCATTCATTAATATATCAATGCTGATTGACCTCAATCTCCTAACATAACCACTATAACTAATAAAATAATATAAATAACTGGCTATGCCCCTCCTGGTTGGGTGCGCCTACTGCAAAACCTGGACTACCTGGGCCTTATCCTGCCTATCTTACTACCTGCCTTACTGTTCACTGCACTGCCTACCTTACTGCCTACCTCACTGCTGGTTTTGCTGCCTGCCTTACTGTTAACTATATTACCTACCTTACTATCTGCCTTATGGCCTGCCTCATTATCTACCTTACTATCTACCTCGCTGCCTACCTTACTACCTGCCTTACTGCCTGCCTTACTGTGCCTCACTGTCTAGCTTACTACCTATCTCACTGCTGGTCTTGCTGTCTATCTTGCTGTCTATCTTGCTGTCTATCTTGCTGTCTATCTTGCTGTCTATCTTGCTGTCTATCTTGCTGTCTATCTTGCTGTCTATCTTGCTGTCTATCTTGCTGTCTACCTCACTGTCTACCTTGCTGTCTACTATACTGCCTGTCTTGCTGCCTGCCTTACTATTAACCTCACTATCTACCTCACTACCTATCTCACTTTCTGCCTGCTGTTCTGCCTGCCTCATGCATGACCTTCCTGGGGCCTTATGATTTACCGTACTACCTTACTTGCTATCCTAATCACTACCTTACTGCCTGCTGTTCTCCCTGCTATTTGACCTGCCCTTCTGCCTCCTATTCTGCCTCCCATTCTGCCTCCCATTCTATCTACCTCACTGCCTGTCTTGCTGCCTGCCTCATGCATGACCTTACTGTCTGCCTCCCTGTCTACCTTCCTGTCTACCTTCCTGTCTACCTCACTGCCTACCTCACTGTCTACCTACTGTCTCTCTTGCTCCCTCCCTGCCTACTACCTATGTCTATCATAACTATGGTTGATATTATATATATGCATATGTATAAACCACTGATTCGGCTAACATACTATATAAACCAACCGTATAATATATATCTCTGCGCATTATGGTTTACTAAAATATATATTCATTCCTAAATATATCAATGCTGATCGACCTCGATCTCCTGACATAACCACCGTAACCAACAAAATAATGTAAATAACTGGCTGTGCCCCTCGTGGTTGGGGTGCGCCTGCCCTAAAAACTGGACCACCTGGGCCTCATCCTGCCCATCAACCCCCATTCCCTGCAACCAGCGCTGCCATATGGGCTTGATCTGGCCCTGCCATGGCCTGAATAACATCATGGCCACCATGGGGATTAAAAACCCGCGGTATTCGCATGCATGGCCCGGCTCCCACCCACGGCATATGGATTGGGGCATGCCGCACGAAAAACACGCGCTATACGGGGCATATTGCACCTGCTGACACACGCGGATCATCCATGCCCGCGCGGCCTGGCTGTGGGGCTGATGACATGTATATAACTCATGGCCACCATCACCCCCCTGCATGGCGCATATATAACATTGGTCCCGCCACTGCATGCATTCAGCCTGGGCCATCTCCTCATCCAAACCCTGCTGGGTCTGATGCTGCTGCTGCTGGATATCCATGGCGGCCCACTGCTAGGCCTGCGCCTGCTGGGTGTGCCATACTGCCATGGGAATGGATGGCTGGCTGTAAAATGACTCATTGGATGGGGTGGGACTGCCTGATGGTGGGGTCACCCTGTATGGTGCCTTACTGACTACCTCTCTCCCTGCCATGCTGCCTGCTGGCCATGGGGCCTCTCTGGCTGCCTCTCTTGCTACCATGCTACCTGCCTGGCATGGGGCCTCTCTGACTACCTCTCTCCCTACCTCTCTCCCTGCCTCACTGCCTGCCTCACTGCCTGCCTCACTGCCTGCCTCACTGCCTGCCTCGCTACCTGCCTCACTGCCTGCCTCGCTGCCTGCCTTGCTGCCTGCCTCACATGGGGCCTCTGGGGCTGCCTCACCCGGCACTGGGCTGCTACCAACCCTGGCTGGATCCACCTCCGGCTCTGCCTAATTGGGATTACACCCATCACATATCTGCTCCCTGGGATCCGCATCCTGGCAATACCGCTGCTGATACCTGTCCACCACTCCGTCTAAATACTGATCTAACACGACCCGGCGGCACCCAATGCCTTCCACCACCCCCATATACTCAGCAACCCGCTCCTGGTCCTCATGGGCGACGCCCTCCATCCATGGAGCTGGGGCATCCCACCTAGCTGGCTGGATAATGATTGCCTCACTGCGCTGTCCATCTCGCCCAGCCTGGCCACTCTCCTGCGCGTAATCCAGTAACGTCCGGGGGGTCCTAATATGGATGATGCTGTAGATATTGGGGATGTCCACCCCCATGCCCAATGTGCTGGTGGCGGCGATCATGGGGCTGGCCCCCATAAACCGCGCCAGCACCCTGGCCTTATCTAACTGCTCACTGTAATACGCCTCACACCCAAGCACCCGCGCCATGGCTATCACCTGCCTAATGATATTCACATATATGATCACCTTCCCCCAGCAGCCCGTCGGATGCGGTCCTGAATGAATGCCACCACCGCCTTGCTCTTGATCCACTGATATGGGCCCCAGCCCACCCCAGTCATGTCCGGCCACCACACCCAGTATGCCACGTTCGGCTGGCTAGTCTGGGCCTGGTATATGGTCACAGCAGCCTGGTCATACTTCATCCGCCAGCATAATTTGGCCTCCATGCTCGGGGGCAATGTGGCGGCCAGCCATACCATCTAGGTGCAGGCCTGGACTAACCGGCCCAGCTGGGACATCTGGGGCCAGAAATCGCGCTGGGAATTCAACACCACATGGCATTCATCAATCATGATCTGGTCCAACCGCCGGGTCCACCGCAGCCAGTTCAAAAACATCTGGAAATCAGGGCTCACCGCGGACTCAGGCGTCACCAACATGATAGATGCGGCATCAGGGGGCCGCCAGCTCTCCCATAGCACACATGATATGCCGAGCTCCTAGCAGCGCCTGGTCATATCAGCCCATAATACAATGAGTAGCACCACAATGATGGTGGTGCCCCCAGGGGCAGTGAACGCAGGCACTATAAACAATATACTCTTCCCTCCACCCATGGGCATCACTGCGACCACAGGGCTCTCCCCCCACTGGATGGCGCGCATGGCCGGGTCCTGGACACCCCAGAACCACATGGCAGGCCGCCCCATCATGCACTGCGCGGCGGCCTCCAGATCCATTATTGCCAACTGGTGCCGGCATTCCATGCAGCTGACCTCAGCCTCATCCTCCCATGGGGCCCGTTTGCACTTGCCTAATATAGATGGGTGGCCCAGGGCGCTAAACCCTAAAAACTGATGCCAATTAGTACTGGATAACCAGAACATCTCCCACCGGTGGGCCATGCTGCCAGCCTGTTCCTGCATGACACAGCCATATACCATGCCAGCGACGTGGGATGAATGGGCAGCCTGTAAATCAGCAATATGGCCTATCCACTGCTCAATATCCATGCCCTCCTCAGCATCAGCATCCATGGCAGCTGGGGCCGGCTCGGCCTCCTAGATATTATGGGGGAACACGGTGGACGGCCGCAAAAATCAGCGGCTGATGCTAATGGCAATGTCCTAGTATGCGGCAATATGGATGGCGGTGCCTAGCCAGGTGTGGGTTTCCCGTTTCAACGCCTCCCGGAACCGCTCGGACGACCATTCGCGGCCAGTACTGGGGTCGGGGCCCCATAACCATGCCTGCATGGCCTGGTTCCCCTGCGCGGGCTGGTTCCCCTGCGCGGGCTGGCTCCCCTGCGCGGGCTGGCTCCCCTGCGTGGCTGGCTCCCCTGCGCGGGCTGGCTCCCCTGCGTGGGCTGGCTCCCCTGCGTGGTGTCACTTCCCTGCGCGGCCCAGCTTCCCTGCACAGCGTGACTTCCCTACACAGCGTGACTTCCCTGCACGGCGTGACTTCCCTGCGCGGTGTGACTTCCCTGCGCTACCTAACTTCCCTGCACTGCCTGCGCTGCCTGCGCTGCCTGCCATGCAGCCAACTGATTAATGAATGGCATCACCAGCCACATATACCATACTACTAACTCCCCGACCTCCTGCGGCACATATTGATGGATGATCTTGACATCATTGCTAGCATGGAATCCCTTATGATATGCCGTCACAAATGTCACCATGCCATCCTTGATATATATATTCCGCTGTTGACTATTTGCCGTGTTGCAATGCTGAATGCTTAATAACTCTGGGGCCTGGGCCGGCTGCCCTGCAGTGACATGCATGATAATTGCTAATTTCTCCTTAAACTGGGCCACGCGCTGCTAATACTGCTGGATGGCAGCAGGGTGGAATCAGCCCCCCCGCAGAAAATGCTGCTGCATGACCGGCTCGGCCCGCAGCCGGTTGATCATCCAGTGGGTCCCATCCACCGGCCACTGGGTCCGTGCGTCGTGCAGAAAGTTCCACCCCGCCTGGGTCTGGCTGGGATCGTCATATAATGCCGTCCAGGGAATGGCGGGCATCTGCGCATGATCCTGCATGCACAAATGGCTGATAATCTCCCTCGCTGCAGTCACTAATCCATGGATGAATCCCCGAAAATCCCCCATCGTGAACGCCATCTGCTGGTATAATAACTGGTCCTCACCCATCCACGTCACATGTCCGGGCGCGGTATGATTATAATGGACCTTTAATCCATATGTGCGCCAGTCTAGCAATGTTTCCATGGGGCCGTGTGTCCCACGGATCATAAACTGGTGCATCATCCATGTCACCTGCTCCTGGAACGGTCGGCGGCTCTGGCAAATGTTGACCGCGGGCAATGGATCATCGCTATGGATGGATGATGGTGGTGATGATTAGGGGTCATCACTGCCATATCCCTCATCAATCTCCCCAAGTTGATCATCTGCGCTAGCTAGGACCCATTCAGCGCTCTGGTCCTTTTGTATCCAGGTCTGAATGATCTGCTATGGATTTGGGTCCATCCATAATGCTTTCTGGACCACCATGAATCGGGCCACCTTGATCACGCGGGATAATATTGGTGGGTAGCTCTCTGGGTCCCGCCAGCCAGCCTCACCCTGACTAAGTACGGCCATGGCGTATACTGATGCACTCTCATATTCGTGGCTGCGATGGCGCTGGTTGAGCAGCTCAATGCAAAATTCTAAGCATGCTTTTTCTATAGCAGTCATCGCCCATACCTCTAGGTCCTCTGGGTTCTCCAGGTCCTCCAGGTCCTCCCGGTCCTCCCGGTCCCCTGGAACTGCGGCCTGGCTAGCAAGCTGCCACAGCTGCCGCCATTTCTGGCGCTACCGCGCGGTCATCCCATATTTCGGGCTGGTCCAGCCATGCGGGGCCTGCGTGCGGGCAATGAATGCTAATATCTGCTGCCATGGACGGACATGCTTCTGGACCGCAGCCTCATCCATGTATGCCAGCAGCGGCCGGTATGGGGTCTGCCCCTTTTCAGACCAGACAGCTTCCACCCGGATGGCCTGGCCGCAATGCTGGACTGTCTGCTGGCTCTTATAGGCAACCTGCTCCATGGTGGCCCAGATGACCTGCACGCGCTGCTCAGTGGCATCCTAGGGATCTTCCTCCGGGGCTGCCACGCAGGCTAGCAGGTCATGGGCCTGGGTGCCCTGCAGATAGTCGGCCCACTGAGTCATCCGCAGCCAGGGGTTCGCGTCAGTCAGCTGGCTGGCCTGGATGGCCTGATCGGCCTTGGCCTGGGCCTGGGCCTGCTCCCAGGCCTGCACCACCTCATCCACTGCAGCCTGCACGCCCTGGGTAGATGGGGGTGGGGGGACCCCATCTGGATATCGAATATAGATATAGTGGGACCCTGGACCACTAGGGAACACCTGCTGCCATGAGACATATTGGAATGACTGCTGCACCTCAGCATCACCCCTAGCCTTCTCCTTCTGGCTAACCCGCCCCCGATGACTCTGCTGGGACCACTGGTGAATGACCTGCCAATGCTTTCGCATTGACTTCATGGTTGAGGCAATGAATAAGCAATTGGGATCACGCTGGCAGAGGAGGCCATTAGAATGAGATGGCAATATAGGCAGCAGCTCATCTAATGCTTGAGGTATCTGGATGGCGCTACTATCATACTGAATATCCTGCCATTTAGATATCGCCTCGGTGATCTGGCTTGTAACTGCCTGCTTTAGGTAATGCTTTCTCTTTAGATGCGGTTCTACCTCAGCTGGTCGCACCCCATGCTTGCATTGATGGCAGATAAGAATACCTAAGGTAGGCACCTGATGAAATAATTGATTTTCCATGATAGTGAGGATGGAATGGATAGTCGTGAATGAATAGTGATGAATGAATAAGATGAGAAAACATCTTTACCCCTGAATCTAAGATATGGTTAGTCTCGTGAGGCCGCACCCGCGAAAATCAGGCTGTTGATTATGTAGAATTCAACCACGAACCATCTCTTTATTCTAAGTTAGATTCTCTTGAAATTTGATCCAGTAATTAATAAGGGCTAGTCATACTATCTATAAAAATTTCAGAATGATACACCCATAGAATCTAATTGCGATGGCCCTTATTGCTTTATCTATTAGACTTATAAGGCCGCACCCCGCGAAAATCCAGCTATTAAGTATATAGAATTCAACCACTAACTATTACTTTATTCTGGCTTAGATTCTCTTGAAATTTGATCTAGTTATTAATAAGGGCTTAGTATACTACCTATTGAAATTTCAGAATGATATACCTATAGAATCTAATTGCGATGGCTCTTATGATTTTATCCCTTTGTCTCATGAGGCCGCACCTGATGAAAGTCTAGCTATTAATGCAGTTCTACCTTAGCTGGTCGCACCCCATGCTTGCATTGACAGCAAATAACAATCCCTAGGGTAGGTAACTTATAAAATAATTAATTTTCTATAATAATTATTAATGAATATGACTGGAATTAAATAAATCTGAATAGGTTAAATAAATTTGAAGGAGTGAAAATACCTTTACCCCTAAATTTAATGTGCACTCAGGTAGTCCCCTAACATAATTATTCTTCCTGACTAGGTAGTTTCATACCCACACCACACCTTTAATTCTGCATCTGTAGACCTTAAATTTATGTATGTAAGAAATAATTACCTACTCTATCTTCCTATAAAATCTGAGCTTGATCAGCCTACAATATTCAAATCCACCATGCACCTTGCTTCTAAATCCACCATGCCCTCATGTGGGGCACTACCAGCCAATCAGATATTACACCCTAAATCCACCATGCCCTTGGTGCTCCATCCCCTGTGGAATAGGATCACACCCATCACATATCTGCTCCCTGGGATCCGCATCCTGGCAATACTGCTGCTGATACCCATCCACCACTCCATCCAAATACTGATCTAACACGACCCGGCGGCACCCAATGCCTTCCACCACCCCCATATACTCAGCAACCCGCTCCTGGTCCTCAGGGGCGACGCCCTCCATCCATAGAGCTGGGGTATCCCACCCAGCTGGCTGGATAATAATTACCTCACTGCGCTGTCCATCTCACCCAGCCCAGCCACTCTCCTGCGCGTAATCCAGTAATGTCCGGGGGGTCCCAATATAGATGATGCTGCAGATATTGGGGATGTCCACCCCCATACCCAACGCGCTGGTGGTGGCAATCACTGGGCTGGCCCCCATAAACCGCGCCAGCACCCTGGCCTTGTCCAACTGCTCACTGTAATACGCCTCACACCCAAGCACCCGCGCCATGGCTATCACCTGCCTAATGATATTCACATATATGATCACCTTCCCCCCAGCAGCCTGTTGGATGCGGTCCTGAATGAATGCCACCACTGCCTCGCTCTCGATCCACTGATATGGGCCCCAGCCCACCCCAGTCATGTCCAGCCGCCACACCCGGTATGCCACATTCGGCTGGCTGGTCCGGGCCCAGTATATAGTCACGGCGGCCTGGTCATGCTTTATCTGCTAGCATAATTCAGCCTCCATGCTCGGGGGCAACGTGGCAGTCAACCATACCATCTGGGTGCGGGCCTGGACTAACCGGCCCAGCTAAGCCATCTGGGGCCAGAAATCGCGCTGGGAATTCAACACCACATGGCATTCATCAATCACGATCCGGTCCAACCGCCGGGTCCACCGCAGCCAGTTCAAAAATGTCTGGAAATCAGGGCTCACCGCGGACTCGGGCGTCACCAACACGATGGATGCGGCATTGGGGGGCCGCCGGCTCTCCCATGGCACGCATGATATGCCGAGCTCCTAGCATCGCCATGTCATATCAGCCCATAATGTGATGAGCGGAACCACAACGATGGTGGTGCCCCCGGGGGCAGCGAACACAGGCACCATGAACAGCATGCTCTTCCCCCCACCGGTGGGCATCACTGCCACCACGGGGCTCTCACCCCACTGGATGGCCCGCATCGCCGGGTCCTGCACCCCCCGGAACCGCATGTTGGGCCGCCCAGTCATGCGCTGCGCGGCTGCCTCCAGATCCATGGTGGCCAGCTGGTGGCAGCATTCCATGCGGCTGACCTTGGCCTCATCCTCCCACGGGGCCCATTTGCGCTTGCCTAATATGGATGGGTGGCCCAGGGCGCTAAACCCTAAAAACTAATGCCAATCAGTACTGGATAACCAGAACATCTCCCGCCAGTGGGCCGTGCTGCCGGCCTATTCCTGCATGACACAGCCATATACCATGCCAGCAACATGGGATGAATGGGCGGCCTGTAAATCAGCAATATAGCCTATCCACTGCTCAATATCCATGCCCTCCTCGGCATCAGCATCCATGGCAGCTGGGGCCAGCTCGGCCTCCTGGATATTATAGGGGAACACGGTAGATGGCCGCAAAAATCAGCGGCTGATGCCAATGGCGATGTCCCAGTATGCAGCGATATGGATGGCAGTGCCTAGCTAGGTGCGGGTTTCCCATTTCAACGCCTCCCAGAACCGCTCAGACGGCCATTCGCGGCCAGTACCGGGGTCGGGGCCCCATAACCATGCCTGCGCGGGCTGGCTCCCCTGCGCGGCATCACTTCCCTGCGCCACCTGACTTCCCTGCGCTGCCTGCGCCGCCTGCCATGCAGCCAACTAATTAATGAATGGCATCACCAGCCACATATACCATACTACTAACTCCCCGACCTCCTGCAGCACATATCAATGGATGATCTTGACATCATTGCTAGCATGGAATCCCTTATGATATGCTATCACAAATGTCACCATGCCATCCTCAATATATATATTCCACCATTGACTGTTCACTGTGTTGCAATGCTGAATGCTTAACAACTCTGGGGCCCATACCAGCTGCCCCACGGTGACATGCACCAGAATGGCTAATTTCTCCTTAAACTAGGCCACGCGCTGCCAGTACTGCTGGATGGCACCACAGTGGAATCAGCCCCCCCACAGGAAATGCCGCTGCATGGCCGGCTCAGCCCGCAGCCGGTCAATCATCCAGTGGGTCCCATCCACCAGCCACTAGGTCCGTGCGTTGTGCAGAAAGTTCCACCCCGCCTGGGTCTGGCTGGGATCGTCATATAATGCCGTCTAGGGAATGGCAGGCATCTGCGCATGATCCTGCATGCACAAATGGCCAAGTATCTCCCTCGCTGCAGTCACTAATCCATAGATGAATCCCCGAAAATCCCCCATCGTGAACACTATTTACTGGTATAATAACTAGTCCTCACCCATCCACATCACATGTCCGGGCGCAGTATGATTATAATAGACCTTTAATCCATATGTGCACCAGTCTAGCAATGTTTCCATAGGGCCATGTGTCCCATAGATTATAAACTAGTACATTATCCATGTCACCTGCTCCTGGAATGGTTGGTGGCTCTAGCGAATGTTAGCCGCGGGTAATAGATCATCGCTACGGATGGATGATGGCGGTGATGATGGTGGTGATGATCAGGGGTCATCACTGCCATATCCCTCATCAATCTCCCTGAGTTGATCATCTGCGCTAGCGAGCACCCATTCAGCGCTCTGGTCCTTTTGTATCCAGGTCTGAATGATCTGCCATGGATTAGGGTCCATCTATAATACTTTCTAGACCACCATGAATCAGGCCACCTTGATCACGCGGGATAATATTGGTGGGTAGCTCTCTGGGTCCCGCCAGCCAGCCTTACCCTGACTGAGCATGGCCATAGCGCATACTAATGCACTCTCATATTCATGACTGCAATGGCGCTAATTAAGCAGCTTAATGTAAAATTCTAAGCATACTTTTTCCATGGCAGTTATGGCCCATGCCTCTAGGTTCTCTAGGTCCTCTGGGTCCTCCAGGTCCTCCCAGTCCCTTGGAACTGCGGCCTGGCTAGCGAGCTGCCATAGCTGCCGCCATTTCTGATGCTGCCAGGCAGTCATCCCATATTTTGGGCTCGTCCAGTCATGCAGCGCCTGCGTGCGGGTAATAAATGCTAATATCTGCTGCCATGGACAGACATGCTTCTAGATTACTGCCTCATCCATGTATGCCAGCAGTGGCCGGTATGGTGTCTATCCTTTTTCAGACTGGACTACTTCCACCTAGATGGCCTGGCCGCAGTGCTGGACCATCTACTAGCTCTTATAGGCGACCTGCTCCATTATATGCCAGATCACCTGCACGCGCTGCTCAGTGGCATCCTGGGGATCTTCCTCTGGGGCTGCCACACAGGCAAGTAGGTTATATGCCTGGATACCCTGCAGATAGTTGGCCTACTGAGTCATCTGCAGCCAGGGATTCGCGTCAGTCAACTGGCTTGCCTAGATGGCGTGATTGGCCTGAGTGCGGGCCTGCGCCTGCTCCCATGCCTGCACCACCTCATCCACCACTGTCTGGATAGCATCAGTTGGTGGTGGTGGATGGCGGTCATTTAGCTGGCGAACACATATATAATAGGACCCTTTTCGGGATGGGAAAAATGTTGGTGAGAACCATGGTATGGTTAAACCTTAATAAGAGGCAAATAGTGATCTCACTATGACAGCATAGTGATATCACCTAGCTACCCACTGCCTATAAATATGTCCTCAAGGTCACTCCTCACCTAGTTTTACAATCAATCAAGCAATCAAGAGAAATCAAGGAATTAAGACATTTAGCTAAGATATCCTTAGCTACTTCCTTCTACTATTCTTCCTTCTTACCTTGGCAAGCTATCTATTCCCCTTTGCTTTAGTGAACTCTACTAGCTAGTTATACACTACATACTACTTATCCATTCACAGGTTATGAGCCCGGCCTTGCTCTAAGGCAATCTCCTATACCAAGATCTCTTCCAGAGATCTATACTATTGATTATTCATTAATCAATACCCTTCCATATACTAGGTCTAACCTAGTACTTGATTGATTATCAATCGATACTCTGAGTCTAAAGAAGCTATATTTAATATGGCATCTATTGATAAGATTAGCTTGCCAAAGCTACATGGCTCAGATAACTATATAACCTGGTCTATTAGGACTAAGGCCACCCTTATAAAGGAAGATCTATCCTCTGCTATTGAGGAAGATATCCTGGGCAAAAAGAATGATAAAGCACTAGCTATTATAAAACTATTATGTGAAGATGGACCTCTTCTTCACATAAATAATATAGCTAAGGCTAAGGAGGCCTGGATAAGGCTTCAAGACCTCTATAATCCTAAGGGATTCACTACTGAATACCTCACCCTAAAAGATTTCTTTAATACCACGTTGGATGATTTCCAAACGATGGAAGAATATCTTAATAAGGTTAAGGGATTAGTGGATAACCTAAAGGAAAAAGATATCATTCTGCCTAACCAGGTTATTATAGCCTGGGTACTGAATAGCCTTGGTCATGAATATGAAGGGTTTATATCTAATATAACCCAGTCCTTAAGGAATGACCCAAAAGCCTACACCATTGAATCCCTATTTTCTAGCCTTGCAGATGAGGCAAGAGGAAGGGAAAATGGTCATAATGATAGCCATAGGCTATTATATACTAAGGCTATGGGTAAATCCTATAAAAGGCATTCCTTAGGCAAATACTGCCAACATTGCAAGCTTACTAGTCATGATACTAGTAACTGCTATTTCCTATTCCCTAATAAGGCACCCAAAGGGTGGAAAAAGGGGAATAAGAATAATAAGATAAATCAAAAGTATTCAAAGGTTCAGAAGAATCAAAAGAATCAGAAAGGACTAAAAGAAAAGGATGCCTTTCAAGCAATCCTATCTAGTCTAGACTCTGATATCTTAAATGATTCTCCTAATATGAATCATCTAAATCATGATTCATCTAATAGTCATGAATCTGATCATTCAGATCAAGATATGACTAAGAATCCTGAAATATATACCCTTCATACTATGGATTCTGATCCATGGCTAAATATGAAGGACATCCCTGATGATCAGCTATTTGATATAGCTGAAGATGAGGTACGTCCACCTCTGAAAACCCCTATTACTAGGGCAGTCACTAATAGCTCTTATAAACTAGATCATCTAGTCATACCAGAACACTTATTTCCTCAGAAAGGATCAAAAGTGGATTTTATCATTGATAGTGCTGCTACTATAAATACTGTTTACAGAATGGAATATTTCTTTAAATGTAAAGAAATAAATAAAATAATTTCATGGGGCAAAGCAAAAAGCCTAAGGGCTAAATATCAGGGTGATATTCTTATTAAATATCCCTCAGGATATATAAATATACTAAAGGATGTCTATTACATCCCTGAATTAGGGATTAACCTTATAAGTGTGGATAGAATATCTGAGGCACTAGGGATAACTACTATCTTTACTAAAGATAAAGTATCCCTATATCTTAAAAACCAGACTATTATAGCTGGAAATAAGAAAAACAGCCTCTACCATATCCTATTCACCATCTTATATCCTAAGGAACATGTCAATGCCTGCCTAACTAATTCAGAATTATCTGAATTTAGGAAATGGCATATGAGATTAGGGCATATAAATGCTGTACCCCTAGGATTGCTACTTGGCAATATGGGGATAGCTATATCTAAGCAAGACTTAGAAGAATTTAAAAGTAATAAATGCCCTACATGCATCCTTGCTAAGGATAAAAGATATATTAATAAAGAATCCCTGAATAAAAAGGATTATGATATCCTTGGAAGGATCCATAGTGATATAGGAGGCCCCTTATCACCCACCTATGATAAATATAGGTACTATATAACCTTCCTAGATAAGAAGTCTAGGTATCTATGGGTATTCCTGCTAAGGCATAAAAATGAGGCCTTTCAGACCTTTATAAACTATGCAAAAAAGGCAGAGAATAATAATAATAAGAAAAGAATAAGAGAATTCTTTTCAGATAATGGGCCTGAATATACTAATAAATGCTTCCAAAAGGCATTAAATAACTATGGTATTATTCATAATACTACCCCAATCTATACTAAAGAGCCTAATGGCTTAATAGAAAGGATAAACCTGACTCTACTTAGTAAAGTCAGATCCCTTCTAATAATGGCAAATGCTCCTAAATATCTATGGGGTGAGGCACTAGTTGCTAGTGCCTATCTATATAATAGAACACCCCATAATGCCTTAGGATTCAAAACACCTTATGAAATATTTCATAAGGAAAAGCCATACATCCAGAATATTAGATCTTGGGGATCTATTGCATACTACCATAGTAATATGCCTAAGGATAAGCTATCTCCCAGAAAGGAGAAAGCTATTATTATTGGTTATAGCCAATATAACCACTATAAACTATGGGATCTGAAAAAGAATAAGGCTATATGGTCTAGGGATGTTACTATCCTAGAAAATCAATTCCTAGAGCCTCAGCCAATCCAGAAATCCTTAATATCTAAGGATTCAAATCAATATGACTATATTGATATAAAGGCTAATGATAGCCTTATAAAGGAGTCTAGCTCAGCTACCCCTAATAAGAATAATATTTCTATTAGGGAGTCCAGAGTAGCTAGCCCTAATCATTCTAGACCAATGACTAGGTCTAAAATAAGGGATGTATCAACTATTCCTAATCATAGGATTGAAGTTCAAATTCCCCAGAGAAAAGAACATAAAAATATAAACTTCTCTGTAGTAGGAGAAGATAGGGCCCTATTCACTATTAGTGACACTACATTAAAGAATTATCTAAATTCTTTAAATAAGAAGGAAGAAATAGCAGACTTTCTTCTAACTACTACTACTATAAATGAGCCTAATACCTTCCCAGAAGCTATGAATAGCCCTAATTCTAAGGAATGGCTAAGGGCATGCTTAGAGGAGGTTCATGAGCTGGAAAGCCAACATACCTATGATATAGTTGATCTTCCTAAGGGGAAAACTGCCCTAAAGGGTAGATGGGTTTTTAAAGAAAAGCCTATAACTAATACTGCTATTATAAATAATAACTATATAACTAATAGTGAAAAAACTATTAGATATAAAGCCAGATGGGTGATTCAGGGTTTCTATCAAAGGCTAGGAATTGATTTCTTAGAAACTTTTTCTACTACCTGCAGAACTGAAACCTGGCACCTAATCCTTATAATAGCTATTAATAAAGGATGGCATATTATGCAATATGATGTCAAAAATGCCTTTGTGCATGCTGATATTGATGCTGATATTTATACTATACTACCTATAGGGGTCTATAATGATCCTAAATATAGGGGCAAGGTCTGCCATCTAAATAAGGCTACGTGCTTTTTGGATCTATGCTGCTCAGCGGGAACTCAAACCACATTAAATCCTTGATCCAACTTGCCGCCCTCACCACGCCTGTAAATCATTGATTTTCATACCAAAATTTGATTGCATCAATCAGAACTAACATATGAGTAAGTTGGCTAAATTTAAAATGCCTGGGACCTCACCTTAAGCCATGGTGGTGATTATGGGCGTGCTTTTCGGATCTACAATGCTCAGCAGGGACTCAAACCACGCCCAAATCCTAGGATCAAATATCCTCACCACGCCTGCAAATCATCAATTTTGATACTGAAATTTAGCTGCATCAATTGGAACTAGCATATCAGTAAGTTAGCTAAACTTAAAATACCTATGACCTGACCTGGAGTGATGGTAATGATTATAGGCAGTGCTTTTCAGATCCATGCTGCTCTGCGGGGACTTAAACCACGCCCAGATCCTAGGATTAAATATCCTTACCACACCTGCAAATCATTAATTTTGATACTGAAATTTGGCTGCATCAATTGGAACTAGCATATCAGTAAGTTAGCTAAACTTAAAATGCCTGCAACCTTACCTGGAGCTATGGTAGTAATTATGGGCAGTGCTTTTTAGATCCACACTGCTCTGCAGGGACTCAAACCGCGCCTAAATCCTAGGATCAAACATGTCACCACACCTGCAAATCATTAAATTCTATATTAAAATTTAGTCAAATTATGCTAAACTAGCCAATGAATAAAGTATTAAAATTTGAAATGTATACAGCTCTATCTGGTGTAATGATTGTACTTAAGGTAGTGCTTTTCAGATCCATGCTGCTTGGCGGGAACTCAAACCACATTAAAATTCTGCGTATCAACCACCCACCTCACCACACCTGCAAATCATCAGTTTTAATACTGAAATTTGGCTGCATAAATCAGAACTAGCATACCAGTGAGCTCGCTAAATTTAAAATGCCTGCGACCTGACCTGGAGCGATGGTGGTGATTATAGGTAGTGCTTTTCAGATCCACGCTGCTTAGCAGGAACTCAAACCACGCCCAAATCCTAGGATTAGACTGAATATATAAGCTGAATATCAAGCCTCTAGGCTAGTCTCAGTCCATGTCTACTGTAATACACAGCCGTTTAGCCAGCCCAGTATCAAGGTCCCCCTGCCATGCCCGCTTGCGAGGCCCTAGATAGGTCTCAAACCCCAGAAACCCATGCCACTCACGACTAATGGCCCGGTACTGGCGCCGCCGTGCCTCTACATGGCCTGGGGCCTCCTGCAGCCCCCGTGCATATACTGTGCCTGCAATCCAGGACCCATGGCTGGCCTGCTCATTAAAGGCTGCATCATCTGCCCCATAGTCCCGCTTAAACCCCCCACATTTCAGGTGCACCTGGGAGATGGCAATAGCTGCATGCCGGTAGGACAGAATATTCATCTTGGTCTGGAGATGGGTCTGTGCCTCACGCTGGAGGACCTTGTGTAGCTAGCTACTATCCTAGCTCCCCTCCCCCGCTGGCCATAGGAAGGCTGAGGAGGGGCCCTTCTGCCCATGGACCAGCTTCTGCAGGGCCTGGCAGAAGGGCAGGATTAGCCACAGGTAGTAGACCACCAACTCACTAACAGCCTTAGGCAGATACCGGTGGATGATCTTGGTGGTGTTATTAATAGAATACCCCTTATGGTAGGTGGTGACTGTGCTCACAAGCCCATGCTCAATGAATATATTGCGGTGGCGGCCATGGAGGGTATTGCTATGGCGCAGGCTGAGTAGCTCTATGGCCTGGGCTGGCTGGCCCCCAGTTATATAGACTAGCAGAAGCAGGCGCTCTAGGAACCCTTTTACCTGCTGTAGGTACTGGTCTACAGCCCCTGCCTGCCAGAGCACCTGGTCCTACTGGCTATTCTGGTGTAGCTGCAGGAACTCCTCCCGGAGCTAGTCAGTCCCTAGAACATGATCCAGTAGCCACCGTTCCCCGGTGGTAGGTAGGGCAGCCTGGGTACGCTGGTCCTGCAGGAAGTTCCAGCCCCGCTGGTTCTTCGTGGGGTCATCCTGCAGCTCATGCAAGGCCAGCTGGGGCACTATCTCCTCCCTCACCTCCTCCTCATGGAGGAGGAAGAGCCGTGCTAGGTCTGCCTGGGCCAGTTGCACCTGGCCGGCAATAAACTGGCGTAGCCCCTGCATGCTAAGCTGCAGGTCTTTATAGCTGAGGGTCTGCTCATCATCACTCCAGTAGATATAGCCTAGACTAGTAGTGCTGTTCTGGATCTTCTTCCCGTAGGTGCGCAGCCGTGTGATCCAGCCAAAGGGGGCACGCACCCCATATAGCAGGAAGCGCTCGCGCATCTCATCCAGGGCATCTGCGGGGTGGCTGACCGCACCGGCCTTGGTCAGGTGGACCGCCTGCAGGGCCACCAGCATCTGGGCCATCTTGACCAGTCCGGAGAGGTAGCTTGTATAGCTGTAGGGCTCCCGGAAGGTCTGGCGCGCGGGGTCCACCCCCAGCACTGCTAGGAAGGCCACCAGGGTGCTTTTGAAGAGATCCCCCTTCAGGGTATGGTCTAGGAGGGCGATGGAGAGAGCCAGACAGGCCTAGTCCAGCCGGCTCTGTGCCTTTTCCTCCGGGGGGGATAGTGATGGGGGTGCTGATCACACTAGGGGCCCTAGGGGTTCGGCTGGTCCCTGGGGTGCTGGGGGTGCTAGCAGTGGTGCCGCCCCTGATGCCCCTGATTCCTGCGGGATCTGTGATGCCTCTAATACCTGTTGGGTCTCTGGCCCCTCAGCGCGCAGGGCTAGGAACTGCCGGCCATACTCCTCCATCTAGTCAAGCGCGGCCAGCTGGGCGGTGTTGAGCTGGTGGCGCAGCTGGATGGGCTGGTCCGGCTGGGTGCTGCGGTAGGCGAAGCAGACCAGCCACTGCCAGACCTGGCAGTACTGGCGATAGGTCTTCGGCCGGAGGTGGATCTGGATGGGCCGGTTCCAGACCCCAGGCTCCCAGAAGAAGGTATTGATCTGGACCTGGTCAAATTTGTTGATCTGGCCGCTCCAGATGGTCTGGTAGGCCTGCTGGATCAGCCGCTCGATACTGGTGCTGAACAGGGCCAGCAGGGGCTCCTGGGCCGGATCAGGTAGGCTACCAAGCAGGGCTACTGCCGTCAGGTCCTGCCCCCGTAGGTACTCCGGCCAGCGGGTCAGCTCCAGCCAGGGAGAGACCTCGGTCGGGTGGGCGCCAAGGCTGGGGACCTGGCTGTTAGCCAGCTCAGCCGCGGCCTCCCTCTCCTGCAGGGCCTGGTTGACATAGGCGCGGATCCGCTCCGCAGGGGTCTGGGGGTGGCCGACGGGGCTAGTGGGCCTGGCTGGGCAGCACAGGTGACCTCAAAGAAATGGCTTCCTGCCCGGCTGGTAAAGAATCGCTGGCAGCTCACCACGCGATTGGCCAGGCGGGCGCGGGTGCAGGCCTGGGCCTGGGCCGCTGAGAGCCGGCCCTGGCCCCGGTGCCCCTCCTGCTCCCGATGTTTCTGGGCGCGGTGTTTGTGAAGCAGGGCCGGGGACCGGCAGATATAGGGGCAATGCGGGCAGCTGTGGCCCTGGTACACCGGCAGACCTGGCACGGGGGGTCCCCGCGGAGGGCTGGGGGCAGGGCCCCTGGCTCGCGTCCGCCCATGGCCGCTGGAGCATCTGGGTCAGCACCGCCTGACGGAGGGCAGGCGTGGCCACGGTGGGATGGGACCGGTGGCGGGTGCAGAGGTGGCCCAGTAAGGTCAGGGGTGAGACCGCGTACTGGCAGCAGGGGCCGGTGCAGATCCAGACCTGGTAGGTAGGGTTATAGAGAAACAGGTCCATGTTAGAGATAACTATTAATACCAGGCTGAGAGGCAGATCTGGAAGTAGTAGATTAGGAGGTTTATAAATAATAGTATTCCATCCATCGCTGTGATGAGGCGCGACATTAGGTAAATTTAATTCAAAACAAAAACGCGACGCGCGCCTTATTATTACCTAAGGTGGAAAGAAAAAGAAATTATATGTCCAGGATCAGGATCCTTTGGTGACTAAAATGGGGTTGTGATTGATCTTGATCTCATGTGCTGATATAGAGAGGAGAGGAACCAGAGGGCGTGCCCCTAAATAGGGAGGAGTTATAGGTGGCCTAGGAGGAGGGGGGGGGGGGCGAAGGAAGCCAGCGGCAAAGGGTAATGGATATGATCATATGGGCACGCACCCAGCGGGGGGACGGGAGCACGCACCGTCGATACGGATGGGCGAGGGGCCGACCGACGACCGACCAATCAGCAGGCGGAGAACGGGATCGTACGTAGGGTCGTTCAGCCCCTGGGGAACAGGTTCTTATAAGTATAATTAACCTCTATTAGTAAGGTAGTATTAGAGGTTTAATCCTAAGAGGGGACTTAACTAAGATTTAGATTATTAGATTACTTAATAGATTAACCCTTACTAATAACCACCCCTTAGGGCTGACTCCCTATTATAATAAGCTTAGGGGCCTATATATATATATTAAGTTTAAGTATATAATAGCCTAAGGCTAAAGGGCCTGTGTTACTAGCTACCCTTAGAACCTAGTAATAAGGCTAAGGCCCTAGGATATACTCTAAGCAAGGGAGAGATAACTACTCTAAGCAAGGGAGAGATAACTACTCTAAGCAAGGGAGAGATAACTATTAGAGGTTATAATAAGACTTAAAGATATATATATATAGGAGCTAGGCATAATTAACTATAGAGGTTAATTATAGTAGGCCTTTTATCTTAATTAGGAAGCCTTATAGCCTAGTATAGGTTCTTATATACTTATTATTACTACTTTAATTTATACTTATTAGATCTATCTCTTCTAAGGTAATATTTAATTATAAACCCTTTATATATATTAAAATCTAAACTACTAAACTAATCTATACAAATTATCCTTCTTATATACTTACATATAAATATATATATATAAAGTAATTCTTATTATTATCTTTTAAATTACTATCTTCTCTATTCTTATTAGTAGTTATATATATCCTATCTTTAATTAACTAATCTATCTACTCCTATAGAGTATATTATATACTTATATGCCTAATCCCTTATTCCCTAGCTCTAAAAGCCACCCTTATCCTCCCCCTACTATAAAGGGGCCCTATTATTTTATAGATTTAGTATATCTTATTCTACTAGATATAATAGATAGGCCTAGATAGATCTAGATAATTATAGAATCATAAGGCTAGTATAAGTTAAATATATTGATTTCCCTTCATTATATATATTTATAAATTAAATGTCTCCCTAGATCTAGATGACTCTACTATATATATAGTTACTAACTAAAGCTTTACCTACATCTGAATGACCCTACTATATCTATATTTTAGACCTGTTAAAGCTGAATCACCTAGTTAAGATAGCTAACACAGTGACCTATTGAAGCCAAATTACTAGGCTGAGCCATACTGAATCACCTAGTCTAGATAGCCCATGCAGAGATCTACCAAAGCTGAATCTCCTAGTTGAGAGAGCCCACGCAGGGACCTATTGCAGCTGAATCACTAGGCTGAGCAATACTAAATCAACTAGTCTAGATAGCCCACGCAGGGACCTATCGAAGCCGAATCATCTAGTTGAGATACCCCACGCAGGGACCTATCGAAGCCAAATCATCTAGTTGAGATAGCCCACGCAGGGACCTATCGAAGCTGGATCACCTAGTCTAGATAGCCCACGCAGGGACCTATCGAAGCCAAATCACCTAGTTGAGATACCCCATGCAGGGATCTATCGAGGCCGAATCACTAGGCTGAGCAATACCGAATCGACTAGTCTAGATAGCCCACGCAGGGAACTATCGAAGCCGAATCATCTAGTCTAGATACCCCACACAGGGACCTATCGAAGCCGAATCACTAGGCTGAGCCATACCAAATCACCTAGTCTAGATAGCCCACGCAGGGACCTATCGAAGCCGAATCATCTAGTTGAGATAGCCCACGCAGGGACCTATCGAAGCTGGATCACCTAGTCTAGATAGCCCACGCAGGGACCTATTGCAGCTGAATCACTAGGTTAAGCCATACCAAAACAACTAGTCTAGATAGCCCACGCAGGGACCTATTGAAGCTGAATCACCTAGTTGAGATACCCACGCAGGGACCTATCGAAGCTGAATCATCTAGTTGAGATACCCCACGCAGGGACCTATCAAAGCCGAATCAACTAGTCTAGATAGCCCACGCAGGGACCTATCGAAGCCGAATTACCTAGTTAAGATAGCCCACGCAGGGACCTATCGCAGCCAAATCACCTAGTTGAGATAGCCCACGCAGGGACCTATTGTAGCTAAATTAACTAGTCTAGGTAGCCTGCTTATAGGCCTCTCCCTACTATACTACTAAGTCTAGACCTACTCTCTAAATGAAATCCACAAAACATTAACTTCTATGAATTTTTAAAAATTCTAGGCTTAGTATTACTAAGCATACTATATATCATTCTTCTAGTTAAAATTTGGCCTATTAACTAAAAATAATTATAATTAGTCAGCAGGTAATAAATTTCAAAGTGTCTTTTAAGGATTTCTAAAAAATTAGGAATCATGCTTATATAATCAGACTATTATCATTCTATAATGTAATCGGACACTGAGCGAGCCATGACACCGAGCGAGCCACCTAAATATGATTTTGGCCGCGATCGAAAACCATGAGATATTACTACTACGCAATTAAAATAAAACCATCTTTATATATAAAAGTATCAAATTATCTACTACGGCAGCTAGTTCTAATATGCCTAATTTGATGGCAGTTACTGCATTGTGGTGGTGCATGCTTTTTAGGAACTGGTTCCCCTACCATCATCTGTATAGCTTCTTGAGCACGCTGCTGGCCTTCAGCCCCTGTCAGAACCCCTCCAGTAGCAATATAAGATCTAGGGGCCATGTGCTTTTGCTTTTGCTTTTCATTTACTGCGCGAAGCTCCGCCATCTGGTGTTGTAATAGAATGACTTCATGCATGGTAGATTCAGCTGCTTTTGCTAGCTGATGAAGTGCCTCATTTGGAGGGCTTTTAGAGTTGCATTAGATAAGTTGCTTTATATGCTGCATCTGCTTTTGCACCTCTGCAGCAGTATAAGGGGTCTTTGTTATCCATTCACCCTCTGTAGATCCAGGTCCATGTGCAGTAGTTGGAGGGGTAATATTCTTGATAGTAAGCTTATCCAGTACCCTTTGTGGATTTAAAGGCACTAAACCAGAAGCTTCAAACCCACTGCAGATATTCTTAGATGATAAGGCCTTTCGTGACTCTTTATAAAGATCAAGAAAGTTTTCCTTATCAATATGATGTATGCCATGTTGGATGCTTCTCATCACCTCTGCTTCATATGCTTCCTTTAGGGGTGCAAAGCAGCCAATATTAAGAGGTTGCAGTTTATCAGATGAATGAGAGGGCATATAAAGAGGGATGATTTGATGGTCCTTGCAGAAAAGATTAAACTCTGCAGATTCATGGCTAGCATGGCCATTAAGAATTAAAAGCTAATATCTCCCTTGAGTACGTGCTACAGTATGCTTTTGAAAGACCTTTTCCAACCAGAATATACCAAGCTCATTATTCGTCCATCTATTATTGCTGAGGCCAACCAGCCAATCAGGGTTGATATCTTAATACCATTGAGATTGATGGACCTTGCTGGAGAAGATGATCATGGGCGGGAGACATCATCCAGAGGTGTTAATGCATTTAATAACAGTAACCTATTCGTGATTTCCTGGTTGTATAGCTCATACGTGGCTTGTTCGATGATGGGATGCAGTAATAACCTTTGCTGTATAGGCCACACCCATCTAGAAGCCAGTTTCATCAAAATTATAGATATCCTGCTCAGTTATACCATATTTTACTATGGTATTCTGAACCAGACTGAACCACTGACTGATAACCTCTGGATCCTCACATTTGGCGCGCTGGTAGTCATATTTGTGTGTATATTTTGATATAATATTATCATGCCATTTGATGAATCTAGTAATCCATCTCTTACTGACTGGTTCCCCCTCTCGCTCCTGCAGTAGCAGATTCGCCATTTTGCGCACTATAGCATGTGTTGGTGGTAGGCCACGCTCATCCATATCTAGAATCTACTTCTTTAGTGATGATTCTTCTAGCCTGCTAAGCTTCAGGTAGTTTGCTGGTATATTAGCCCGTGCTTTGCGACCACTAATTTGATGGGTAAGGGTAGAGTGTGGGACATTATATATAGCAGCTGCAGCTTGTATGCTCTTAAACTAGCTATTTTTAAATGCTTTAATTACAAGGGATATGCGATCTTCTAATTTATTAGTTAAATCTGCTTGTTTTAAGGCCATATTTGATGAAGAATTGAACTTGATTATAATTTGGTGTGTTGTAAGATTCAGGGGGTGAGGCGGTGGCTTGCTTAGTGTTATGGCTTGCTTGGTGTCTGATTATATTAACATAATTAGTAAGTGAGCGGATCACACAACTAAGTAGATCACTAAACGCGTTTTAACTTCCATTTTAAAAGCTGCAGTATTCAGCCAGCCACCATGCCACCAAAAGCGCGTATAAACTTGAAAAATTTAGTTGAGCAGGAGGGAAGGATCCTACTTGTAGTATCAGCTTTGAAAAAGAAGGAAATCCTTAATATTTATAAAGCTGCGCGTGTCTATAATGTGCCTTATACTACCCTCCAGCGGCGCCTAAAGGGGCATACTTTTCGAGATGAATTACGCGCAAATGGCCATAAAATAACTCAGAATGAAGAGGAATCACTTATTAGATGGATTCTATCTATAGATTAATGTGGAGCAGCT